AAAAAAAAAAAAAAAAGGGAAAAATAAATACAAAGCAAATCAGAATATCAGCAGGGATGTGCTGGTCTAATCACACAGTCCAAAAAAATTTAATATGCCCTTTCTCCCCCCCCTCCCCTCCCCCTCCTAACAGAACAACACTGCATTCAGCAAGCTTGAACATATCTCCTTTACATCATCTCAGTGAGGATAAGATGAACACACAATCCCACTTTGATTGGATCCTTCTTTTATACTTCTGACTGGAGAAGTTCTTTGTGATTGTTGTGGGCTTTTCCAACATCAAACAGTTCTCTAGGTTCAGTCCATTTATATTAATAGTCTCTCCAACCCTTCACCCTCTCTCAACCTTATTGCTGTCTGTTTAAAGACATGGTCATTTTTCACAGAGAAAGTGGTAAAATGCCATCTGTATGTACAAAAACAAACCAGCAGAAACCACAGCCTAATCCCTGCAGGTTGAATGTAAATCCTTTAGACAATGAGAACTTTATTCTTAATGTTTTCCAGAACTCTTCTGACGTCCTCAGTGGCAGACCTTGCAGCAATTGAAAATTAGTAATAGTCTGTACATTTTTATATATATATTTATATTAAAAAAAACCCCAAAAGAATAACAAATAACAAACAAACAAAAAAAGTAGCTGAAGTGCAAAGGAATTGTTTAAGGAGAAAGAACGGTGGAATGGTGGACAAATATACACAACAATAATACTGAAAGCCGTGATAAAATGAAGAAAATATCATGCTCCTGAGTCCAAGTGTGAGCAAAACAGGGTGACAAAAGGTACACCGAAAACAGAGAAGGTTGGAAGTTGAAGAGGGATGGAGGGACTGGATGAGTAAAGATCTGGACGAAGATGTAGTGACAAAGTGATGGGGGAGAAGAAGAGGCTAGCTCCACAATCCTGCGTAGTTGCCGTGCAGGCCAGAACAGAGCGGTCCACCTGCTACAAACAGCTTGGTGCCAGAGTCGTCATAGCAGTGGGTGTACACTGCATTGGGGAAGGAATGAATGTCTGAGAAGTAACTCCTCCACGTCTCATCGTGATTCTGAAAGGAATATTAGAGGGTAAAAGTGGGCAAAGACATTGCACATGTACACCAACTACAGTTTGACTGACCACAGTTCACTGCTTGATTTGGAAAAAACAAAAAAACAAAACTGCATACCAGCCAGCCTTTTCCCGTAGTGAGCTTGAGGATGCCATCTCCAGGGCACTTCCGATACCCTCCGTTTGGATTAAAAGGGTTCTCCAGGAATCTCTGAGCCCGGATGTCATAGAAAAGAAGAGAACCTTGGCCAGTACCCACAGTCACGATGTGCTCATAGAAACTCACTGAACGGATGCCTGCACAGACAGAAAGACATGCCAATGTAAAGCTACACAGTCAACATCTACCCTCCCACCGTTTGAGCTTTCCAACTGTCGGAATCCTCTGGAACTCTGCTTTCATTTCTAACCAGACAGAGTACGTTACAACTTTTATATCACGGTGAAAAATACAATTGTTATGGATATGTTTGACACATTGGAAGGCAATCATCATTTAAACTTCATACTAAGCAAGTATGAAGGTGACTTATATTGTGCCATCAGTTGAAAACTAACTTAAAGGAGAAACCAATAACACACCCCAGTGGTAGTGGTACCAGGTCAATCTCACACACACAGTCCAAAGATGTGCATGGTAGGTTAACTACATTGGCTGCAAGTAAAAATGCAAAGTAAAAAGTTTTTTTCCCCCTCGCTGTCAAAGACTAGTGTTAGTTGCATTGACCAACAAGTCTGAGTATGGAACATCCTCTGCCCTTTTGGCCACCTCTTTCAATTGCAAGGTTTGCAAATACCTTGCATCTATTTTATAAACCCAGACAGGTTGCCAGCATACTACAATCAATCTGAGTCAGTCTGCATCACTGAACGCAACTCATCTGTGACATGTCTCTTTGTAAAAGGGGATTCACCTCAACTGGTTTCTAACTGGTGGTATTCGGGATACCTTTATATATAAAGGCAAGGCTGCTGAGCACTGTCATGTTGTGATTAAAGCGCATTATTACAGTAAATGTCATTACTTGTGGAGGAAATTATCAATTTCGGTTTCAAATCTGAAGTTCTGGCTGCCCTCTGAGTGCAAGCAGATACAGTGGCTTGCAAAAGTATTCGGCCCCCTTAAACTTTCCCACATTTTGTCACATTACAGCCACAAACATGAATCAATTTTATTGGAAGTCCACGTGAAAGACCAATACAAAGTGGTGCACACGTGAGAAGTGGAACGAAAATCATACATGATTCCAAACATTTTTTACAAATAAATAACTGCAAAGTGGGGTGTGCGTAATTATTCAGCCCCCTGAGTCAATACTTTGTAGAACCACCTTTTGCTGCTATTACAGCTGCCAGTCTTTTAGGGTATGTCTCTACCAGCTTTGCACATCTACAGACAGAAATCTTTGCGCATTCTTCTGTGCAAAACAGCTCCAGCTCAGTCAGATTAGATGGACAGCGTTTGTGAACAGCAGTTTTCAGATCTTGCCACAGATTCTCGATTGGATTTAGATCTGGACTTTGACTGGGCCATTCTAACACATGGATGTGTTTTGTTTTAAACTACTCCCTTGTTGCCCTGGCTTTATGTTT